AAAGGACATCAGAGTTTACTTTTTCCTGAATAATTGAAATTCTTTTTTTCTTCAATATTTTCTTTAATATGATTTTGAAATTTTAATTTAAAAATATTCTGCAATATGGTTTGTATTTGATTTACACATGAACATAGTTAATACTGTATCGAGAATCTGGCAGAGGTTCAAATATGAATTTTACCAGAAATGCGTACAATTATGTACCAATTAAAATTTTTTTAAATGCAAAAAATAAGACATATTAGAAGCAAAACAGGTAGAATAAATTCAAATAAGTATTCACTGAGTGAATGGCACATATTGAGAGATTCCTATTTTTCTCTTTGAAATTTCAGATCATTTAAATGCAGGAGGGTACTTCAAAGAGTTAGTGGAAAGCTTTGTGTTATCTTTTAATTCTATTTTTCCATGAACTTTTTGATCTACCCTTGTATAGCTTACATTTTAAGGAAACTGCAAAATATCTATAATCAGTGTTTTCAATAACTCTGAGTATACGCAATTAAGGTTGTTTGATGCTGCTTCTGATGTAACAAAATATGTTTTAGGAGTGAAATGTATATGAACTCTGATTCATTGCCACATACTGCTAGACATTATAGTCATTAATGCACAAAATAGAGGGGCTTTTTATTACAAACCTATGCATTCACATTTATATTTAGGCTTTCCCACAAGAAAGATAAGAGTGACCATTAATACATCAGCAGATACTAAGGCTAAAAACATGATAATCCTTGACATAAATATCATTCAAATGAAATTGAAAGATTATTGTCTCAAATTGAATTGATTGGATTCAATTCTCAAGGCAGAAGATATTCTCAACGTATGAAATAGCACTGTGGGAGGAAAATCTTTTGTTTCCTAATGAGTTTTGCAGAATAGTCTGCAGCCCTATGTTTTGAATATGTATCTCTAAATCGCCTAACTAAATCATTCTTTTGGAAAGTTCAGTGCCTATTCAAAATTGAATTTGCTGTAAGTATCCATTAACATATACTAAATCTTGAAGCACCCTTTATGGAAGGCCTGTGTCATCAATACGTGTCATCAAGATGAATGACAATTGAAAGCATTATGATTAATGCTATTTCTTTAAATACTAAATAAGAAGCATTATTTGATGCACGAAATATTATTCATGGTGACAAGTTATGTAACTTGAACTGTACCCTTATAAAGCTTTATCTCAATTTGTTAGTGATTAATGACAAATAATTTTTAACTAGTCATGAAATTTACCAAAAAAAAAAAAACAGGTAAATACACAGAAATAGTCAGAATGAAATGTTAATCTTGCTTTAAAAAAGGATTAGCAATATACTATTTTTACATTATGCTAAATTTTTCTATATCTATGCCCAGATCTGGATAGAGATCAATATCTGTCTGTCTGCAAGTCTATTTCTCTGTCTCTCTGTCTTCAATAATTTTCCCAAAGTGTGGTTTATGATCCACCTGATTTAGAAAGAATTATCTGGGATTTTTGTTAAATTGCAGACTCTAGGTTATAACCGTGGGCTTAGAGAATCAAACTGCCCAGAAGTAGGGATAAAGGATTTTGATATTTAAAAAGCTCCCCTGATGCATCTCATGCACACCAAAGTTAAGAAACGCTGACAAGATTAGGAGAAACATGGCAGAAATGAAGATTTTTACCCCTCCCACCACTCAACCAAAAAGAATTGAGCACTTTTTTTTTCCTTTCTCAGATTTCATAAGCATGTTTCTTCCATGTATTCGTAGGTGTACTAGTTCAATAAATGACAACTAAGAACCTACTATTTGGAATTGGAAATAAAATAAACAACAGAAAACATATTATGTGTTTCCTAACCTCAAGGAGCTCATGGTTTAAGGAATTATTTTTAAACAGCAATTACCAATTACAATATGGTGTGATAAGTGTTATAACAGAAGTGCAAATAACAGGTTTTAAATAAAAGAAGCTTGTTATTAAAAAAGGTGATATTTCCACTTGTAATTCTAAAGTTACAATTGTTGTTTTTCTGATTGAAGCTGTTGGATTCTAGGTTAGCACTGCATGCACTGTACACAAATTGGATACCTGACATCATTTGTTGACTTGAACAATGATTGAGTTCAATCACCTGGTGCAACAAAATCTATTTGTAAATCAACCTTCAACTCATCCATAGTCAATTTTTAATAAAAGAGTATTTTAAGTGATAAACATATTTCATCTATTTAGAATTTTCATACTTTTGAATGAATACACTAATGAACAAAATTCTAACAAATGCAAATATTTAATTTGCACTCATGAATTAATGGGCGTGAACATTCTTTATAAACTACAATGAACAATGGAAAACATTATGGAACTATGTAGAGAAACTAGAGGATAATAGCACTGTTAATAATAATTACCGCTACACAGAACTCTAGCTTTCCATAGTTGACTATACGGAGAAAATTCGCATATTCTCATACTTTTGCTCTTGGTGTTGACAGAATTATACACACTAACTAATCACTTCAGGAATTCAGAGAATCTTTATTTCAAAATGCCTGATTAAAATTATCAGTGAAACAGTGCTTCTCTTTGTCCTTAACAATCTTATCTTTTAGAATGGTCTTGTCTAATTTGTCTGGGATTTTCCTGTCTTTTTTCAAAAGAGAAAAGCAGCTTATTTTCCTGGGCTTCCATTGCTCTATGTCAGTGGCTCTCAAAATGGGTCTCAGAACCAGTAACATCAGCATCACAGAGAATTGCCAGATTCGGGAATCTCCGGCACCACACAGGCTCACTATACCAGACACCCTGTGGGGTGCTCAGGTTGACTTCTATTTGCTCACAAGAACAGAAGTTTCCAGAAATTCTGCAACTCATTTGTGAAACACAGTAACCACTAAAAAAAAAGTTTTAAAGTTATAATTAAATACATTTTATTTTTAAAACCAAGGTTATAAATATTCAACACTTACCACTTGTGCATTTTATGACTTTTTACCATTACTTGTGTCATGGACTGTTTACACCAAAGAAATCGGCAAACACTGCAAATCAGGGATTTCTCCTCTATCCCCCAGGAAAGTGGTTGTTAAACATCTATCAGAATTGCATAGGTCAACTTATCTTTAAAAAGTCCTCCAGGTAATTCTGATGAGTGCTCAAGTTTGAGAAACACACTTTCTGTGATCTACTTTGTAGTACCTAAAGGGTTGCAGACTATTACTGTCAGACTGCTATGGGCTGTGTGGTTCTCCAACAGCTTGCTATGTGATTTATCCTGGAGTGATGTAAAACCAGGGTCAACCTTTTGCCCAATCAGGAGAGAGTGCTGTGGTTATCAGCCTGTACACAGCTAACTACTTCCTCCCTGACCATGTATAAAACATTTCCCTAGAGTTGTTTTCTTTACTAAGTTGTTTGGCACATTTACATCCCTCCTTCACCTCTGATATAAACATATTTTTTTTTAATTTAAAAAGACAAACCTTTATATAGTCCCATAATCAAGAAAACACATATAAATATAAAGAAATTCAACTTGACATGTATAGATGTTTACCAAAATATGATCATGTAACATATGTGTGTGTGTGTGTGTGTGTGTATTAACTAAGTCATTATAGAATAAATTCAGAAAATTATGGGAGTAAAAATGAGACTTGAATAAAACATGCAATTGCCTACAGCATAAGGAAACTAATGTTGCAACAAAGATATGTAAACAGTAAGAGTAGAATGTCCTGGAGAATGAAGAGAAGTGCGAAGAGTCACCTTCCACTCAGACGCTCTCTTCTGCTGAATTGCTCGCATGCGTGAGTGGGAGTCCACAGAACCAGAGGCAGCCTCTGCTGATAACATGGCACTTTACTCAAGGGAGGGAAGCAACTACTTGGGCGGTGAATCACACTCCTGATTGTTGTCTCAGCCAAAGCTAAGTCCCGAGTCTAGCTAGGATTTAAGAAGAAATGCAGGATAAAAATTCTCCTAATTTGGAGGAGGAGAAACATACATTAATTTGGAACGGTTGCCAGATATGCTAGAAATATAAATTTTAAAATATAATAAATCATTAAGAGCAATAAAAGTGAATATAATGTGGTAATTATGTAAAAATGTTCCATGTGACAACTGGAAAATCGCTGATCTGTGGACCTAAATCTACAGCAAGGTGTTTTTCTTGGCATGTCTCCTATTATCATGATGTCTTCAGGAATCCTGGAGTCTGGCTTAAAATTCTTACCCCAAACCAGGTGCAAAGGCCCTAACAATTCTTAAATAAGGAAAAAAGCATTGTCACAAAAGAGTAAATTAGGGGGAGGGGGTTGTTAAAAATTAACATTTAAAAAAAGAATTAAACACAAATCTGTAGTCACCATGGTCAGAAACCTCATATAACAGATACCTTCTGGTTTTTGCTTGAGCTCCCTAAATAATTTCAGAAAGGAAAAACATATTAGAGTAGAAATAACTACTTTTTCTCAACTTCTCTAAAGTATTTTATTGTAAAATTTGATTGTATCATCAGTGTCTTTGTAGAAGATTAAAAACAATCTAGTAAAAGATTCTCATATGAAAGAAAAAAATGCACTGAAGAGATAAATTATATTTACTTTTCCAGAGTTAAAATTAACAAAAACATAGGAAAAATAATTGATATGTGAAGTTCTTTTCTCTATTTATTATGCCTCCTTCCCCTTCCCTGTAAGGACTCATTATGCTTAATTTAAAACTTGCAAGCAAACTGAATCGGACAAAGCCATGCTGAGTGAGAGAATAGCACAGTTGGAGAACACGTGGCTCATGCGTAGGACCGTGCCCACCCTTACAACATGGAAGTGTGAATTGATAAAGCTGGTGTCTACAAGGAGAAGTATTTTAGTCATTTACTTGAAGTACTCCTTCTGCTACTCTTTCCTCAGTAAGATGCTATTTTTTCCATAATTGTGTGATGTCAACAGATGGTGTAAGTCACGAAGTTGAAGAAAAATAATCTTTAGCATTCATTTGATATTACGTAGCTGTGAGTACTTTGTAGTTCATAATCCATAAAAGAGATCTCAGGAGTTCTATAAGGTCTTTTGTGTACTTAGAACCTATGTTCCTAAAAAACAAAATTTCTTTTTGATCTATTATCTTCAATACTCTCTATTTTCATATTATGCTCTTTATATTGCTCATGAATAGTCAATATATTTAATACGAGATTAGAAAAACAGGTTTGACAAAAGACCACAAATTTGACATAGCAATGACGTTGTTTTAATTTTTGAAAATATTTCCGATTGTCAAAATCAACTTAAAGGTGAACATGATTGGTCCTCATCCACCTATTTTAAACCAAAATTAGTGAATTTTGTGATCAATAGATTTTTTTAAAAATGTGAATCTATAGTAAAGGTATATAAAGTTTAAAAGCATTAAGGGAAAAGTACAATAGATACTGAAGATACGAAGGCATACAGAATCAAGCACACCATAGTACAGCCAGAAATATTCCCATAGTTAATTTATAAACTCTTGAAATGAATAGAAATTCTGACAGCTTCTTAAGCAAGGCAGTGCTCTGAGTTCTGCTGCAATAATAATAAGCTATTCAAGTATGGAATCTGTGTGAATCAGTCTTGCTGGTTTTCTGAGTTACCATGGAGTTTTTAAGAATAATAGACCTAATTAGATTTAGTGACTCAATAAATAAATTAAGCTTTTTTCTAAGCCATCAGTGATTTTCCCGTTTTAAACTAAAAGTGAAAAAAAGCAGAGCTTTCAAGCAGAAAATATATCCTATGCTCTTGACAAATGTCTGAAAAATGCATGTCCTTTAGTCAAAGAAAACAGATAATTTATTGACTTCTCATTTATTCAACAAAGAGAAAAGATAATTTCTGGGAAAAATATAAGAAGCTGCCCTTTGCTTCTCTAGGTCTTGGGAAAATTACAAAATTAAAAATAAGAAACTTGTGAAATTTTAAATCTTAATTGCATGCTTTAGCTGACACTATCAAGCTATGTTATATAGCACATATCGCATTAAATGAAAGATGATTTTACCTAGAGGAGAATAGTTCAGGCTATGATTACTTTTATTTATTTTTTTTCCTTTAAATTTTTATTTTGTCAATATACAATGTGGTTGATTATTATGGCCCATCACTGAAACCTCCCTCTCTCCTCCCCCTCCCCCCTCCAACCCAAGAATGTCCTTTCCTTTTGCTTGTTGTAACAACTTCAAAAAAATTGTAGTTGTGGGCCGGCCCGGTGGCGCACTGGATAGTGCGCCGCTTGGGAAGCGTGGCACCGCTTGGGAAGCACGGCGGCGCTCCCGCCCGAGGGTTCGGATCCCACATACAGACCG